GTCCCAACAACAACAAAAACATTTTTAACTCAATATCAGATTTTTAAGCAAGCATTACGATGCCTCATAGCTTACAAAATTTCCCTTTAATGCCAATATGTCCATCTTTCACAACTGAAACCTGGAAAAGCCTGATAGTACAGAGTCTATCCATTCCGGGTTCACCCCATCCCAAAAATGTAGGCCAGACCAACAAGGGGGGGGCACAGCCATATATACTCAGACCAACTAGAATTTTTATCCTAATACTTGAAAAGAGTTTAAACATGGGGAATATTATGAAAATTTAAAACCCAAATACCTACAAAAACCTCTCAATGATAAAATCTAAGAGTTCCACAGCCCAAAACATTAGCCAATTTAGTCAAAACCTAGGAAGATGAAAAACTGATGCACGCGAAAAAGATCACTTACACCTCGGGTGACTCAAAAAAAACTCCGAAAGACCGGGACCCACACTTCTGAATTCACAAAACACAATGGTAACTGATGTTGCCCCAAACAGTAAAAAAACCTACAAGATTTTACAGAACTATTTTTCCCCTATTGACCACTTTGGGACCAAAAACCATATCCCCTTTAAAATCAGGCATAATTACAGATAATACCACAGAAAAAACCCTACTTTCCCTCATAACAACTCTTGGTAAATTACCCCAAGACATACTAAAGTCACCTTCAGACTTCCCAATGAGGCGCCTTAATAACTTCCAAAAAAATAGCAAACATTGACGGGCCACGAGTAAAAATAAATAAGATTTTGACGAATGTTTTTAAAAATTTTTCTAAAAAAGACTAATACCTTATAACAAGCCTCCCCAAAAAAAACTAAGCAATGACAGCAAAAGGACTGCGTCCCTGGCTAACACCCACATTCTAAAATCCATAAATACAAAACCCCAAATATAAAAAACAGTACAGAATGGGTCACAAAACCAGAGACCAAACAAAAGTTACTCGTCAACCCAAACCACCCTGATAAAAAGGGCAAAAAAATTTGTTTTATGAGAACAGATTATCCAACTTACGGGTATATAAAAAAACCTGGAAACCCTATCAAAAATTCTGGGAACAAAAAAAAATATCACGAAAACAAAATAAAATTAGCAAAATCAATGAACCCCAACTCCCCCCAAACAAAACAGCAAAAAGACTCAATGATTTTTTCCCCCCTATGGGGACAAAACCTTCCCAATAAAATCCCCAAGCTCAATACCCCACCAAATGAACCTCACCGGCAACTACCCGAACCAGTTCCAACCCGACAACCCCCATAAGTCTCCTTATTATCAACGCAACTAAAAAACAAGGCAGGAGATTTAAATACCTTCCCCAACCCTTTATAAAACAAAAAAGTGTCACAAGTGCATCACCAATCATTCAACACTCTTTAACAAATCCATTGAATCCTCCCCTTCCCTACAGTACTCAAAATAGAAAGGGGTACCCGCCCACAAAGGAGGAGAAAAAACAGAGTTGAAAAACTATGGGGAAATTTCCCAAATTTAAACCCTCTCCAAAAATCTTCAAAAAATTTAAATTCAAAAACGAATCTACTCCTCCTTATCTCCCAAAACATACCAACCCCCTGCCAATTTGGATCAGGCCTAAAAAAATACAATATGCTATTTCCATGCTAGAACTATTACACTGAATAGAAAAAAAAGAAGTCCCACTGGGGATCTTCATTGACTTACGTAAAGCTTTGATACAGTTGACCTGACTTGCTCCACGTAAATTTCACACTAGGTATAAGGGGCACTCCCTCAACTACCTCAAGTCATACCTCGCAAAAGAAGCCCTATGTGTACGCAAATGGGGCAAAACTCTTCTGCACAACCAATTTCATTGGGGCCCCCAGGGGAAATGCCTTGGCCCCTTCTCTTTCTTTCCCATAATAAATGACCTACCAAATGCTTCGCAATTACTAAACCCCCACTTTTGCAGATAAAACATAGTCTTCTCCCACCCGGCCCCGTCACGCTAGCCAATACTGTAAATACCGAATTTCAGAAAAAATCTACCTGGATGAGGACTAACAAACTTACACTAAACATTGACAAACCACTTCATTCAGTTTGGTAACAGAGCTACAGATGCCCTCTTTAAATAAAGATAAAATCCCTATCACAAAGAACAGAGGGAAAATTCTAGGAATCCACCTTGATAAAGACTCAAAATTTTTTTAACTATCAAAAATTTCCCAAGAAAATTTCCAAGACTGTAGGCATATACGAAGATACGGTACTATGCTCCACATCAGCCCTCCCCGGCCCCCATATCACTCCTTTATTTCCCTATCCACCTATGGGGAATTTTTTTGCATGGGGGCCAACAACAAAACATCTCAGACCACAATTACCCCCAAAGGCTGCAGTTAGAATGATAACAAATTCTCATATAGGCACACACTCCACCAAAATTTTTTAAAACACTAAACCTACTCACCATACAAAACATTTATCCCTTTTTACTGCACCTATTACTACTAAACACTTAACTCTGATATTAACCCTCCCCTCAAACATCTCCTTGCCAAACCCCAAAGAAAAATGACCATAACACAAGGGACAGATCACTCTTTGATGTTTCCCCGTGCCTCCAAAACTATGCAAAAACTCAATGCACATAAAAGGCCTAAAAACGGAATATTTCCGTAAATATAAAAGAAACACTACCTGTTTATAAATCAAGCTCTTCTCAAAGTCACTTACCCACCCAAAAAAATAAATCTGAATAAATGAACCTTATAAATTGTATTCTTAATGTTTCTCACAATTATATCACATAAATGTTTAAAATAAAACCCAAACTAAAATTTATTTTTTTTTAAAAACCACCTAACAGAAAACTCCATTCTACTGAATGACAACAAAGCATACAACCTATACCGTCTTTTTTTTTACTCACTTGGCTTTATAGTAATCGTTTACTTTAAAATTTTTTTCCTGATGTCATCATTGCTTTTTCATCTTAAGTTAATTTTTAAGCCCGCCCCTAATGAAGCATTATAAATGGGGTTTGGCATGCTGCTCTTATCTGTATTTTTTGTACCTCTGTATTGTGCTCAAATTTTTTAAAAAAATAAAAAAATAAATAAAAAAATAAATACAGTATTCCATTTATTTTAGGCTTTCAAGTACTAATAAACCACCAGGGTCCAAAAAAGCTCCTATTCCAAGCCCGTGGTAAGAAAGGGGAGAAATTCGATTGAATTTAAGAAAAACCCTCATTTTAACAAAATAAAAGTGGTACAAGTGTGGCCGAACTGGGCCCGGATGTAAAGAAACCCCACACAACCTTATTTCCATAGTGGCCAAAAAAAAAAGGAAATCAAGGTCGCTGTTGCCCAAAGGGGTAACATGCTGACAAAAAGAAACACCATACTCGAAAGGGTTTAGAAATTATTATTTGGTGTGGAAAATGAAAAACATTAGCAGGAGATACTCTTTTTGACTTGATTTTTTTGTGAAAAAAGCTAGGCAGTTTTTCAGACGATTTGGTAAAGAAATTGCCGCAACTATTTGGGGAGTAGTGAATTTAAGGCCAGCAAAGGCTGGTTTGAGATTTAAGAACCGCTGGCAAACAGTGTTAAGGCAAAGGGGAGGTGCCAGTTTTGGGCCACAAGGCAGCTGAAAAATAGTGCATGAATTTCCCGGAACATAGAGGTGAAGGACTGAAACCTGAACAAGTTAATTGTGACGAAACACCTCTTTTTGGAAAAAAATCCAAAAAGGACCTTCATTACACAAAAGGAAAAGGCAATGCCAGGGGCACAAGCCATGAAAGACAGGCTGCGCTAATGTTCTGTGCTAAATGTATGGGGGTTTCAAAGTGAAACCCTTACTAGTTACCATTCTGAAAACCCCCGAGGGTTCAGGAAAAACAAGTTATGAAGAGTAAATTTTGTGGTTTTGGGAAAACTAATAGTAAGGCATGGGGCACGAGGGAAATTTTCGCGGTGTCAATAAATGTTTTTCCCTAATGGAAAAATTACCTCCTGGAAAAAAAAAATTGGGTCTCAAGTGCCTCCTAGTAAGGCAAAGCCCTGCTCACCTCCCAAAATTGGATGACCAAATTTTTTGAAGATTTGGGTTCATCACAGTAAAATTCTTTCCCCAATACCACTCCTCTCCTCGCCCAGGACCGCGGGGATTGGAAACTTTAAAAACCTTTCACAAAAGCAAGTTTCACAGGTGCTTGACTGTGACCCAGAAACCCCACTTGACCCTAAGGGAATTTTGGAAGAAATTTAGCATCCTCCATTGCATAACCCCTTTTAGGTATGGCTTGGGAGGGATTTACCACCAGGACTTTGAACTCTGCCTGGGGAAAAAATTTTGGCAGATTGTGTCGACAAAAGGGTTATGAAGGGTTTGGGGCTGACCCCATAGCCTAGTCTGTTGTAAAATCAATTGTGGCCTGGGGGGGTTCCCTGGGGTTTTGGGTGTGAGTTTGGAGGGTGTGGAAAATTGGGGGAAGATCACAACGAAGAGTCACCACCCAGGATTGCAAGAGCTTCAGCACAAGGCAACACATCGCAGCCGAATCTTGCTGCAAGGGGGCAGAAGAGAGATAGAAAAGTGCCTTTTTCAGAAATTAAAAAAGATTTTTACTATGTGGGGGAAATGGGAAAACTTTATGGGGAAACATCCCCTAACAAGGGTTTTTGCAAGCCAGTTGGCAACATGTACAGTGACAAGTCTTGGGCCCTTTTAGGGGGTGTTAAAAAAACGCCAGAAACAGAGTCTCTCCCAGTTATTTGCGAGACAGGACTCCGTGCTCTAAGTGGGCCTATGGGGATTAAGAAACAGAGAAAAAAAGCAACCCCAGAAAAGCAATTGGCACCTGGGTGTTGTGGAAAGGGGGTTCCCCCTTTCCCAAAATTAAACAACCCACTCTCCCCTCCCCAGTCCCCATACACTAAGAAGAATCTCCAATAAAGGTAAGTGTTATGCTGTTAATGTTTCATTCATCATTTCCCATTGTATTGTTTATGTACTACATGTATATTTCATGTAAAAAAAAATTTTTGTTTTAATACTTCTGGGTGTCAGGAATGGATTAATTGTATTTACATTATTTCTTATGGGGAAAATTGATTTACAAATCGTAAATTTAGTTTATAGTAGCTCCTCCAGGAACGAATTAATTATGAAAAATGAGGGACCACTGTATTTAGGTTTGCATACTGGTTGGAAAGCTGGTCGTAAGTCTGAGTGGTCAGTACATGGGTACGTCACTAAGTGAGGAGAGGCTGTACATTATCTGTAGTGGATATCCTTGTGTCCAACAATGTTAGTGTGAGACCTTTCTATAATAGAAGTTAGGTGCATCTGCTGTGGTTAAGCTACTTAATAACTAACCCATCCAACTAGTTACTAACTCTTCATCAATCAGAAACTTCCTGCAGAAGCACAAGAGCAAATCTTTGACCAGCACTGGAGAATACATTACACTGATGTGATGGGAAGTACATAGAAAAGATTGCTAGATATTTGGAAATTAAAGTCTGCAAGCAGATAAACACCTGCATCTAGGATGACTCCAACAACATTTGTGTACAACACAGGGATACATGTGGATACTTGATGAACTTTAATGAAACCAACTGATAGAGAAGCTGCTGGAATTTGCCTCATTTGCCACCAATGACACAATCCCACAAAGGTCTGAGAACTTCAGTGTTTCCAAATTCTTATTCAAAAGATTCTTACTCATATTAGGAATGGCCAGTGTGTGATAAGAACAATAAACATAAGAATGGCAAAGCACTGTAAAAGGTTTACTGGCGTATGTTTGGCAGGTCCTTCTCAAATCCAACCATTCTCACTGAAATATTTGTCCAACCTATTTATTACAACCTGATTCATCTCACCTTGCTACTGGTCATCTATCTCTGTTCATTATATAACACTATGTCTTAGCTTACTCTGTATTAGGACTGAAGAAGCCACTCATAATGAAACATTTCCTTTAATAAATGTCCTGAACTGTACATAAGTGTCTTAATCCACATCAATATATCAGGACAGATTAAAAAATTTTATAGCTGCTTCGGGATGGCCTCTCAATAAACAAATGTTGTAGGCATCAAGGGCTATCTATGCCTAGTATTTATCCACTTTTTAACAAGCATGCTCAACAAATAGTCCTGCTGAAAATAAATTATCATCTACCATGAACCACTGATTCTCACTCATGTGATATTACATACAAAATACTTACAGCTACTCTCCAACAATGACAACAATAAATTATGAACTACAGTTCCAACAATGACAACAACAGTAAATTATAAACTACAGTAAATGTTCGATAAAACGGACCTCCATAAGGCAGATATAGAATAAAACAGACAAAAAATCTGGCCAAACAAAGGCTTAACACATACATTTAATGGGGGGTGTCCAATTAATATAGTCATGAAGAACACCAAATTTGTTATACCAAATGGTTATCCAGTCTAGTCGTACATTGATAAAATGAACTGATTCCACTTAATCGCAGGTTTGTGCAGTCCAAGGTTTGTCCTAGCTGCATCCCATAGCTCAATTGCTAGTGCATTAAGCTCACCCACTGAAGTCTGTGGCTCAATCCCAGGTACAGATGGAAACATTAGGACGTGTTTCTTTCAGACACCTGCTGTCTCTGTTCACCTATCGGTAAAATAATAATATCTTTATTTCTACAAGTACATATACAAGGTATACAGGCCTAGCTGACATTAATGACATACTACTACAGTAAAACTCCAGTTTACGTTCAGTCCGAATATTGTACAATTCGGATTTCGACCACTTTTTTCGGCGAATTTTTACTCCAGGTTTCGTACATAGACTCGGAAATTGTCTGACTCAGACGCGTTTGCCCGCTCAGGATGCCGCCGCCTGACTCAGTCTACCTCTGTCATTTGTCGAGTGAACAATACTCCGCGCGTTCATCCATTGGTTTTGGTGCTTGTTAATAGAGTGCGGCTGTAAAATAAGCCACCATGAGGCCAAAGAAAGTTCAGAGTGCCAGCCCTTTGGTAAAGAAGGTGAGAAACATGAGAGAATTCAAGAAAGAGCTTGTATCAAAATACAAAAGTGGCGTACGTGTGGCCGAGCTTGCCAGGATGTATGGGAAATCCAAATCAACAATCAGTTCCATCCTGGCGAACAAAGTAAAAATCAAGGAAGCTGATGTTGCGAAAGGGGTAAATATGCTAACAAAACAGAGATCACAAACAATCGAAGATGTGCAGAAGTTGTTGTTGGTGTGGATCAACAAGAGTCTTCAATAGAGGTATGTAATAGTGATTTAAATGTTCATTTATCCATTAAAATTAGTGCTTTATTTCTCACTGTTTTCTGTATGTAAAATTATAGTTATTCTCTATAAAATGTATTTTTTTTTTTAATATTTTTGGGTGTCCGGAATGGATTAATTGGATTTATATTATTTCTTACGGGAAATATTACTTCGGTTTTCATCCATTTCGGATTCTGACTAACCTTCTGGAACGGATTAAGGACGAAAACCGGGGTGCATTTCAGGCAAATTAGGTCAATTTGTCCCAGGATGCGACCCACACCAGTCAACTAATACCCAGATACCTGTTTTACTACTGATGGGAAACATAGATAACTGGTGAAAAGAAACACACCCAATGTTTCTACCCTCACTGGGAATCAAGCACAAACCCTCACTGTGTAAAGCGAGATCTTTAGCCACCAGGCCATGGGGCACAATAAGTACAGTAGGGCCCCACTCATATGGCAGATTAGGTTCCAGGCTATCACTGGAAAGCGGACATCACCATAAAGCAGAATGCCCTTTTTTTTTTCCACTTATAAATGTATATAAATGCCAGATAACAAGTCTACACTAATAAATATTAAGTTAGCAATAGAACTAGGCCTTAAAATACAATAAAAAGTAAAATACACACAGTACACTCTTTATTTACCTTAAAATATTTGAAGTCTTAATGTAGGATGAGAGGTGAGTAGTATTTATTGTAAGAAGTCAGGTGTGGTAGGTATGGTACCCCACCTGGCCACCCCATCCACAGGTAATATACATTGAAAGTGTCCCAGAGTGAGAGGTGAGTAGTATTTATCTCTAGGAAGTCAGGTGTGGGAGGTATGGTAGCCCACTTGGCCACCCCACCCACATGTAGTATACAACAAAATTTAAAGCACCCTAGAGTGATAAAATGCATAAACAGTACACTCATTACTCACATTAAAATATTAGGAGTCTTAATGTAGGGTAAGAGGTGAGTAAACGAGATAAAACAATATGAGAGAGAGAGAGAGAGAGACAGACAGAGAGAGAGAGACAGAGAGAAGTAAATGAGAGGGGGGAGAGACACGGAGTCTGTAAACAAGCAGATGAATGCATCTGGTTATGGTTGATACACTTTCATTTCCATGTTTGTGAAGCTTATACCTTACATTGTGTACAAGTTGTATCCACGTTGGTACAGAAGAATAAGGAAAAACACTCCCATTCTCATGTAACACACCATTTTCAGAAGGACTGACGCTCTGAGTGAAGGCATGCAAAAGGAATAATTTTCTACAGTTACTTCAAAGTAATACTATTGTGTACATGATTATTATTGCATATTATTATCATTAATATGGCGTCTTCAAGACTAACAAGACACTCTTAGTGATTTTAATTTGTACCTGCATGTCAGCATAGTGTTTAAGTTTATTTAGGTACAGGTACACATAAGTACAGGTACAACATAAATTTTCCAGAACCTTTGGTTCCAAAGGTTTTCCGGATTACTGATTTTTCCGGACCAGGGTTGGTCAACATAAACAACTGATTTACCGAGACCATAATCTTCACACATCTTCCGCACTAAAGCATCATGGTCCTGTTTTCTCAACAGTTCAACTTTCTCCTGAATCGATAGGGACTGGTGTTTACGTTTGACACCACCAGTCTCCCTCTCATCTCCCTTAGATGCCATAGTTGAGGTTAATTTAATCAAAATAAGCAAAGAAACTCACAGAATTGGGGTGTCCCCCACCAGCAGGTGCAGTGTAAACACTCTAAGTGCACACAGCTACACTCAATGCCATCTGTGGGCCTCCCAGTAAACTACTCTGGCAGCCACAGAATTTCAAGTTCCTGCTCATAAATTTGTATGGATTATAGGAGGCTCCGGATCATCAGTGTTCGGAAAGTCAGTGTTGTACCTGTATAATTATCAGAATACATATATAAAATATGAAATAACTTACAAACACCTGAAATTTTGAAGTTTCCAGACATAATAGAGAGTCGCGAAGCTCACAGAGAATGTAAACAAACCGAGTGGCACACGGTTTGTTGGGGAAGGGAGCTGTATAGAGAGTTCTGGTCATAATCTGAAATGTCCATATGAGTGGAACGTCGTAAAGCGAGTCCCTACTGTACTTGGGTGTTAGTTGACTGGTGTGGGTTGCATCCTGGGGACAAAACTGACCTAATTTGCCTAAAATCCTCTGCATAACAAGGGGCTTTCTATACATTAGTATGTCACTGATGTCAGCCAGGCCTGTATACATTGCACATATACTTGTAGAAATAAAGATTATTGTATTATTATTATTTTCATTGTTCCTGGGCAGTGGGGCCAATGACTGCCTGTGTGGATGTCATTGTTTGTGCACACTCACATCATCGTCATTTCCTCTCCAATTTTACCCTGGATTTTCAGTGTTTTTATATCATTATATTAAAGTACCGAGTACAGTGTAATTAACAATGAACTCTAAAGTACGTGATTGTGCCAGGAAGAAGCATGTGACCTTAATATTAAGCAAAAACTCGAATTAACAAGGAAGAAGGTGGCTGTCATTTCAATGGCCTAGGTGTGTGAGTATGGCACAGTTAAACAGTGTCTGACAAGGATAAGCTGACAAGGATATGCTTAACTGAAATGGTTTTTCAGTTATTCCAAGGAAGCATACGAAAATGGCCCAAGATACAGTGGCTGAAGTAGCACTGCACAAGTAGTATGCTCTACTGACTGTCTCTCTTATACCATCTGCAGTGTTACCGCTGGAAGTTTACAGCTCCTCTTCCTTACAATAAGTTATTTTGGGGACACCACTAGACCACATGGGAATGCTGTATTCTATTACACATCTGTAACCTCATCTACCCACCAGAAAAGGTAAGAATAATTACTGCACTCTACTGTACTGTACTGTGCTGTACTTTAAATTAATTTTTTTAGGTACATTTACAGATAATACTGTATTGTACTCTAATTTAGTTTTAGTATGTTTGGTAGTCCATCAATACAGCAGACTAAGTCTGTTTTATTTGGTGTTCGTTGATGTCTGGTAGTCAATCGATTAATCCTTTCAGGGTCGAGACCCCTGATCCTAAACTCGCTCTCAGGGTCGAAAAATTAAAAACAAAAAAAATGTTTTTTTTCTTATGAAATGATAGAGATTCTTTTCATGATGGTAATGACACCAAAAGTATGATGGAAAACTTACAGAATTATGCTCTCTCAAAGTTAGCAATATCGGCGATATTTACGCATTGTCAATTTCACCCACTTTGAGCCCTATTTTCAGTCAATTCCATGTTCCAGTCGCCTAAAATCATAGCTATCTCACTAGAACTCCATTTGTTTTATCGTTTGAGTACAAGAAACTGCCCATTTACCGATTTCAACTACCCAATAAAGTGGTCAGAAATTGGCAATTTGGCCAATTTCACACAAATTTCAAAAGATGCTAGTGTCAAAATAGTGTCCAGAATAAACAATGCAGACATTCCTGGCACTAAAATAAAATTTTATCTGCTCATTAGTCACGTCTCCAGGCTCCTCTTATATTAAATAACAAAAAAAGGCACAATACCGTGACTGGAATGATACACAAATAACCCGCACATAGAAGAGAGGAGCTTACGACGATGTTCCGGTCCGACTTGGACTGGAACATCGTCATAAGCTCCTCTCTTCTATGTGTGGGTTATTTGTGTATCCTCTTATATTACTCTTGCTTTCCATTTTGAATTTTTATTCTCAAAAAATAGAAGATTTTGTTATGCAGACTATTGCATTATTGTAAAAATGGTATAAATAATATCAGCATATGTGTGAAAGAATTTTAGACTCAGCAGTTGATGTGTATTGGATGTGTGGCGTGATTTGTTTACTCTTGAACATCAGCAAAAATTGAACATTTTCACTAATTTGAGCTCAATTTCAAGGTACTTTTCATCGTGAAACCAATCAAAATCATCTCTATTTCTGTAATCTGTGTTCCATTCTATCAATTGCAACCAAGAAAATGAGAACACAAGCATAAATACCATACAAAAATACACTGCAAAGTTGCTGTTTTAAACCAAAAAAAATGGTCAGTTTTTTTCCTCATTATGCAATGAGTACTGCAAGTTTTTTTATACTGCGCACAATGACCATGCAGACCCATTCTTTCATATGAAGGCCTACCAGCTTTCTTCCACTCAATTTGAAGGTGCTAGAATTTTGGCGAATAAGTATGGCACTGACCCTGGCTCTCAAGCCATACATGTATGGCACTGACCCTGAAAAGATTAAGCGGACTACATCCACTTAATTAAAATTTTCTATATATCGGATTTTTCACTAATGCAGACACCCCTTCTCCCCAATTAATCCGTTTTATCGTACATTTACTGCATTTTCTACTATAAAATATATTACTATACCTGATGAGGCTGTTTTGTATCTCTTGTTCATATGAATAATTCACCCATGCTGAAAGAGACCTCATTGGAATAATAGCATACTTGTGGTCCACTATGTAGAAAAAATATTCTTGCTCAGCTACTGCTCTATGATTAATTGCATCTTCATTCTTAACATATTCTTTGAAAAAGAATTTTTGATTATCATCTTTGTCATCATTATCATATGAATGAGGTGACATTTCCTGAAGTTGATTCTTCAAGGAAAGTGTTGCCAAAGTCAGGTTATTTAAACATGTGGCATCAGAACCATTTTCTACCTTCCTTTCTACAATGTCTTCTGGTTTTCTTTCTATCATGCTTTTTTCCAAGTTCTTTTCTCCTTTCCACTGCCCTGTTTTATCCTCTGTCTCTTCCCTCAGATCCACTTCTGGTGTTTCTTCCCAAACAGGGTATGATTCTGAACTTTGTTCACTATTGCAAATATAGGCCTTTAAATCATAGAACCTAGCCAATGTGTGATCTCTGTCATGCTCATCTTGAGTACGTACATCAAATGGGTAGTCAAATTCAGATACAATACAGAAGCCATTGTTAGGTATATCAGAAGTAACTGCACTCTCTGTACTCACAAACCTGTGACAAAAAGTATCCGATGTCATGTCATCTTTTAAAATGCAGGAAAATAAATCTTCTTGGCGTGATGTAGATCGTAAAAAGACAGCCATTTGTGTGCAATAGGTGTTCTCTGGTCCAAGGCCACACCCAAAAGTCTCCAGTGAATAATCACTATTATCTTGCAAGATTCCTTGACACCTGTTGATAGAATAAATAAGCAGCCATTAAAATCTAATAAAGCTAATTATCTTCACATGTCTCATTTAACAATACATGTATTTACAGAACACTGTTTATCAAAATACTGCAGCACAAAATTCCACTTAATAAGGCACCTGAAATTGCAAAGCAATATGCAAGCTGCTACAAACACAAAATTAGGATTTATTATTTCCTCCAATGAAAGTCAGTCACAATAACCTGTTACAGACAGACAATCCCCACTTAATGAACATTCATATAACAATTTCTAATAACAGTCAGAAAAAATCTTAATTTCCATCTAAGAACCTCATAACAGATTTCAACCATCAATGAATGGGAGAGAGTATACAACTGCTGATACAATGACATAGCCTGTTACTCTGCTTGTATTTGTACCATGAATGGGGGAGTTTACAACTACTGCTACATTGACAGAGCCTGTTACTCTGAATGTATTTATACCATGAATCCTAACTAGTCATAAGTTTGCCTGTGATACTCCAATATAGAAATTATGTATTGTACCAAAACAAAAGGATTCACATTGCTAAATTCACAAACTATAATGTAGTCACTTAGCCTTAATACCAACTTACTCCATAATCTGTAATAATTTAGAGTTAAAAATTAATCTAAGTCTGCCCGAAATGCCTAGCCATGCTAGGTGTCATATTGCCCCCCTCTGTAATTAGTATTTTATAACATGTAAACCACACAATATCCAAAATCTGTAAACCCTGCATTGTAATCTTTATAAAGAATAAACTTGACTGATTGGTTGATGAATGGGGGAGTCTACAACTACAGTGGACCCTCGGTTAACGACATTAATCCGTTCCAGACAGCTGTCTTTAACCAATTCTGTCGTCCCAGCTACTGGACCACTACGACAAGGTCCTGAATGCGCTAGAGGGTAAACAAAATACAGATGTAGTATACATAGACTATGTGAAAGCCTTCGACAAGTGCTACCATGGTGTAATAGTGCACAAAATGCATGATAAAGGAATAAGAGGAAAAGTTGATAGATAAATCTATAACTTCCTAACAAATAGATCCCAAAGAGTAATAATAAACAGAGTAAAGTTTGAGGTGGCTACAGTGCAAAGCTTTGTTCCTCAAGGCACAGTACAGTGGACCCCTGGTTCGCGATGCTATCGGTATCTGATATAAATCTGGTAACCGATGCCAAAAATTTGACTCGGTTCAAGTTACAAAACCCGGTATGCGATACGATTCGTACGAGACGTGTCCACGTGTGGCATGAACTGCCCCGTGTGTACCAGTGTTTACAAGCCAGCCAGTGTGCGCGCATCTAAGAATACATTCGGTACATTCCATATTATCCATATTATCACTGTTTTTGGTGCTTGTTTCTGCAAAATAAGTCACCATAGGCCACAAGAAAGCTTCTAGTGCCAACCCTTCGAGACCAAGGGTGCTAATGGCTACTGAAATGAAGAAAGAGATAATTGCAAAGTATGAAAGTAGAGTGCGTGTGTCGGAGCTGGTCAGGTTGTATAGTAAACCCCAATCTACCATCTCTACTATAGTGAGCAGGAAAATGGCAATCAAGGAAGCTGTTCTTGCAAAAGGTGCAACTGTGATTACGAAACAGCGACCGCAAGTGTTAGAAAATGTTGAGAGACTGTTATTGGTGTGGATAAATGAAAAACAAATAGCAGGAGATAGCATCTCTCAAGCGATCACTTGTGAAAAGGCTAGGCAGCTGCATGATGATTTGGTAAAGAAATTGCCTGCAACTAGTGGTGATGTGAGTGAATTTAAGGCCAGCAAAGGTTGGTTTGAAAGATTTAAGAATTGTAGTGGAATACAGTGTGATTAGGCATGGTGAGGCAGCCAGATCAGACCACAAAGTGGCTGAAAAATATGTGCATAAATTCAAGGAGTACATAGAGGCTGAAGGATTGAAACCTGAACAAGTGTTTAATTGTGATGAAACAGGCCTGTTTTGGAAGAAATTGCCAAGCAGGACCTACATTACTCAGGAGGAAAAGCTACCTCAAGTCCTAATGGAGGGGGATTCCCCTTCTAAACAATAGGTTCAACATTTTCCCCTCCTCCCATCCCATCAATCATCACCAGATCTTCATTAAAGGTAAGTGTCAATTATTCTATTGTTATAATTCTATTGTTATTGTTGTTACTGTAATTATTCTATTGCATTAAACTTAATATTTCATGTGGTAAAAGTTTTTTTTTTTCATACTTTTGGGTGTCTTGCACGGATTAATTTGATTTCCATTATTTCTTATGGGGAAAATTGATTTGCTTTCCGATAATTTTGGTTTACGATGAACTCTCAGGAACGGATTAATATCGCGAACCGAGGGTCCACTGTACATGCTTCCCATTCTGTTCCTCATCCTCATATCTGACAGACAGATGTAAGCCACAGCACCACGTCTTCCTTTGTGCATGACACCTGAATTTGCATGACAGAGTCCTCCATTGAAGACACTCCAAGACTCCAAGCAGACATCAATCAAATCCTCACATGGACTGCAGAAAACAGCACTGCAGCTTTTTGTTGTGTTATTATTGATTTTAGGTGGTTTTTCGTTGTGGAACCTGAGGCACAAATAGCATAGGTGAGGTATGCGTACATCAGTGAATAGTATAGTGTACATAGTGCTGTTTGTGGTACATAGTAATATGTCTGAGAGGATGCCAACAGTTTTAGAAACTTTTTTTGTTATGTGTTGGATATAGGTGTTGAATTTCAGGTTGCTATCAAGGTGCAGACCCAGGAATTTTCCCTCATTATGTTTAGCAATAAGGGTGTTGTTAAGCATAATGTTTAGTTGGACTTCACTTGCTCTTCTCCCAAACATAATGTAAAAGGTTTTGTCTATAGTACAGGTCCTCCATCACAAATCTGGCATCATTGGGACCTGTAGTTTGCCAGATTACAGAGTGGTTAGGTTAGAATACACTTAATAAAATTAACCAACTTGACTTACACAAAGTTCATTGAACATCGGCAAAAATCGAACATTTCCACTACTTAGAGCTCAATTTCAAGGTACTTTTAGTCATGAAAGCAATCAAAATCATGTCTATTTCTGTAATATATCTTCCATTCTATCAATTGAGACCAAAAAAACAAGAATACAACCATAAAAACCATGTAAAAATAAACCGCAAAGAGGCGGCTAATGGTAGAGAAATGAACTCCCTTATTTATTATTATTTTTATTTTTATTAACACACTGACCGATTCCCACCAAGGCAGGGTGGCCCAAAAAAGAAAAACTTTCACCATCATTCACTCCATCACTGTGAGGCAGCCATTAATAACTTCACAACAGCAGTAGCAAACATTGACTGGCACACTGAGCTAGAAATCTATACAGATATTGACGAATGTATTAATAATTTTCTAAAAAAGACCCAATACCTCTATAACAAGCACTGCCCTAAAAAAACTAAACAGATGACAGCTAAGAGACTGAACAGTCCCTGGCTAACACCCAGCATTCTCAAATCCATAAATACAAAACACCAATATGAAAAACAGTACAGAATGGGTCACATAACCAGAGACCAAACAAAACGTTACTCGTCAATCCTAACCAGCCTGATAAGAAAGGCAAAAAAAATTGTATTATGAGAACAGATTATCCAACTTACGAGGTGATATAAAAAGACCTGGAAAAACCCCTATCAGAAATTCGGGAACAAAAAAGATATCATGAAATAGCGCAATAAAATTAGAAAAATAAGATAAAAACCCAACTCCCCCACACAGAAACAGCAGACAGACTCAATGTTTTTCTTCTCCACTATAGGACAAAACCTTGCCAATAAAATCCCAAGCTCAGATACCCCCAATGACTACCTCACCGGCAACTACCCGAACACCTTTTTCCTAGCTCCGACTAACCCATACGAAGTCTCCCTTATTATCAACGCACTAAAAACAAGGCAGGGAACTTAAATACCTTACCACCCTTTATATTCAAAAGTGTCACAAGTGCTATCACCAATCATTGCAACACTCTTTAACAAATCCATTGAATCCTCCCCCCTTCCCTACAGTACAAAATAGAAAGGGTCACCCCGATCCACAAAGGAGGAGACCAAACAGAGTTGAATAACTATAGGCCAATATCCAACTTACACCCTCTCTCAAAAATCTTCAAAAAATTTAATTCTAAACGAATCTACCCCTACCTTTCTCCCAAAAACATACTAAACCCCTGCCAATTTGGATTCAGGCCAAATAAAAATACTAATGAAGCTATTATACACATGCTAGAACATATATACACTGCAACAGAGAAAAAAGAAGTCCCACTGGGGTCTTAAATTGACTTACGTAAAGCTTTTGATACAGTTGACCATGACTTGCTCCACATAAAAATTGACGCACTATGGTTTTAGGGGCACTCCCTCAACTACCTCAAGTCATACCTCAGCAACAGAAGCCAATTGTACGCAAATGGGGCAAACTCTTCGCACAACCAATTACGGGTTGGTGTCCACGGGGAAGCGTTCTTGGCCCTTTTTCTCTTTCTCCTATACATAATGACCTACCAAATGCTTCGCAATTGCTCAAACCCACACTATTTGCAGATGACACTACATACGTCTTCTCCCACCCGAGCCCGTCACGCTACCCAATACTGTTAATACCGAATTACAGAAAAATATCTACCTGGATGAGGACTAACAAACTTACACTAAACATTGACCAAAACCTACTTCATTCAGTTTGGGTAACAGAGCTACAAAATGTCCCTCTTAACAAAATGATAAAGGGAAACACCAATCACAAAGCTAATAGAGGGAAAATTCTTAGGAATCCACCTTGATAATAGACTCAAATTTCATACACATATACAACAAATTTCTAAGAAAAATTTCCAAGACTGTAGGCATACTATCGAAGGATACGGTACTATGCTCCACAGTCAGCCCTCCTGGCCCTATCACCTCTTATTTACCCCTATCTCACCTATTAATTTGTC